AATAATAATAATAATAATAATAATAATAATAATAATAATAATAATAACGCATTTATATTTAATAATGTCTTTGATTTTAAATTCTTTCGATATTTTTCTTATCTTTATTTTCTTTCATTTCTATGTCAGATATATTTGAAATATTAAGGTGCCAATTCATGAGACGCTGAAAATGAGCGTCAACAAGGTGAACGTGGTGATTTCGCTTTGACGCTAGCGTCAAAGAAATGAAGTTGAATTTAATATTCAGCGTCGTCGCTGAATCGTCGTTAATCGTCCCAGTACAATCAAACATAGACTTCAAAATACGTAAAATATTAATTATTTTCAAGTAATATCTTCAAGTAATAATATTTTATGGATATGTATATAAATAAAAGATATTATTTCTGAAGATTTTTACTTGCTAAAAATGAGCGTCGAGCGTTAACGTGAAAAGGCACCTTTAGGCTTTTATTTTTTACTCTTCTCCAAATTCACACGTATAAAATCTCATTTTGCATAAAAAAAAAAAGAAAATCACTGTTTCCACGATATCTAGCGATTATTCGAGATCGATACGCGTTGCACGGCACGTGCAAGAGATTCGAGCGGCGAGCATAAACATCGTTGATCTTTCACGCGTGCCTAATCGTAGGGCTCGTTGACTGTAATTTCCAAGCTTTCCCGGAAAGGTCAAGGCCGCCGTAGTTGTGAGGCCCCAGCTCGCAAATATCTTCCTTTCTCGAGCGAGCCCGGCGCGCGGCGTGAACCTTCCGTAATACGAATTACGTGATTATCTCTTAAGGTGCCTTTTCACGTTAACGCTCGACGCTCATTTTTAGCAAGTAAAAATCTTCAGAAATAATATCTTTTATTTATATATGTATCCATAAAATATTATTACTTGAAGATATTACTTAAAAATAATTAATATTTTACGTATTTCGAAGTCTATGTTTAATTGTACTGGGACGATTAACGACGATTCAGCGACGACGCTGAATATTAAACAAATTCAACTTCATTTCTTTGACGCTAGCGTCAAAGCGAAACCACTACGTTCACCTTGTTGACGCTCATTTTCAGCGGCTCATGAATTGGCACCTTTATTCCTTATTCTCCTGTCGCGAATCATTATACCGCAAACATTTTGTATGCCTCCGTGAACGTTCACCATTCAATTCTGATTTTGCTTGTTCTATTTCCGTTTTATCCTGCGCCGATTGAATGAATAAAGACTTCAAAGTGACGAAGATAAAAGTGTACGGTATATTGTATTATTTGTATTTTAAGTATATTTAAGCAATTATATTTTATAATTTTGCTTTTTTCGATTTCTCGAAGAAGTACGCTAGCTCAACACGATAGCAGAAGAGCAACAAGAGAGAGAAAGCAACGAAAAAGTAATATTTTTTTGGCATCACTGTCTCATCCAAGAATAAATTAAATCGTTCGATGCCCTTTTGCATTTACTGGGTAAAACATTATATCGATATTGAAATTGAACTTGTTAAGAAAGTTCAAATAACGATAAAATGTTCTTAGTTTATTTTTATCATCAAAAAAGTTTTTTTAATTATTGAGAAATAATCTTTGAGTTACTTATAAAGCAAATAATAATGATAGAATGTGATATATTTTAGTTTGAATTATAATAAGGACAATAAAAGATTGACAATAAAGCTAAATATTTCGGTTCTTCATTTTTATTTCTTCGAAACATGACAGTTACTTTCGCTATTTTAACCAGAGATAGTGATTTTTCTACCGCGATAAATGATTTTTGTTTGAGTAACACTTTAATCGCATTCTCGAAGTTTGCATATTCAATGACTTCCCACTCTCCGCCACGCTTTTCACATTTCACCGGGACCTTTTGCTGTTTCATATCCGACGTAACGTCGCGTATTATATTACGTAATTAGCAAGTTTTGCGCCACCGAGTCCGAGTGAAACGTACACGAGAGGCGTCTCCCCGGTCACTACTTTCGATACTCGATCGCTCGTTTCTAAACGATTTCTCGACTTTTGTCTGGCCAAAACATCCGGTTTGCTCGAAACGTACTTTCTTTTATTAAAGGAGAATATCGGTTTTCATTTAATAACAAAATTTGCAAAACGTTTCTCGCCATTCTTGCATTCGCCAGTCTACCGGATACTTTATAAGGTAGAAACGCGTTGGCGACAAAAATCCCGCGGTTATTATTTACATATCTATCGTTATCGCGATGCAGTTTTGCGATCGTTACATGATCGTTATATTACAGCTCTGCGGCGTTATACAACATTGTTGCGTGATTATATAGTCATTTGTTTATATAATTGTTACACAGTAACCAGTACCTGCCTTAATTTTATAATCACCCATTGAGTGATATGTGCGCGAATTTTTGAAAAATATTTTGAGAATATTTTGAGCAAATTTTTACCCTCTTCTCAATCCGATTTCTTTTCGTACTTTCCATTGACAATACATTTTTTGTCGTCGATTCTTTTTTCTGTACGTGCGCGGCCGAGCGCGAATTTCCGATTGCGAAGAAAGGCTTTCTTAAAAAGGTCATTGCGCGGTTGATCTCCTTCGTGACTTCTCCCGACAATGCATCGCCGGAAAAGCGAAAGGAAGAAGAGAGAAACTCATTGCTCGATAAAAAATGTTGCCTTGAATTTTGCCGATCGTAGGAAGCATAATTAAATTGCAATATTAATTACGTAATATAACACATTATTAAATGTTATTAAATAATAGAATAATATGAGTGTTGTACAATCAACATTATCAATTGTGCCATCGATATAAGAATGACATCACGTGTGGATCACGTTCGCGATGATATCCCACTCATATCTTATTATATTCCTTCGAGAACTCGCACTTTTCCGCGCAAAGCCTTCGGCATTGAAGTCTTCGGTGTTGGAAATTTTGTTTATAAAGACATTCAACATTTAAATTTCTAAATTTTAGAATTTGATTTAAAAATCTTTTACATTAAAAGATTCATATAAGTTTAGGAAAAAATATATATATATATCCCTATTCGCTCCAACCAGACCTTTCGTGTCCCCGCGAGTTACTAATCCTCGCATCATAACTCACGAACGAATTGACGAAATTTAATGTTCCAAAGCGCAAATTAATGCTAAAAGTAGTAGCTTTAATTTGCGCTTTGGAACATTAAATTTGGTCAATTCGTTCGTGAGTTATGATGCGAGGATTAAAAAGGCGGAAAAAGGGGTTGGAGTGAATAGGGATATATATATCAAATACTTCTATTATATCTACATCGTGAATTTCAACATCGAACGTGTCAACATTGGAGATTTCAATGCCCGTATAAACATCAATTCGAAACAATTTAAATTGTGTATTTCTTCTTTAATTCTTATTTTATTGACAGTAATTCAATATTAATCGTGTAACGCGAAATAACGCTAGGATTATGATATGGTTTGTTTTACAAATGTATGAAAATTAGAACGAGCCACTTGGCGCGAATTACGGTTACGATCCAATAAATTCACGAAAAATCGCTTATACGAGAAATGAAAGGATCGTCCAAGGCAATTGGAGAAGGCACGTGTTAATGCACGCTCTCTAGAGCCGTAGAAAAACGTACGTTGTGTTCCAATTCGTGCCGATATATCGAACAGTAGGAGCTCTCGTCGGCCATCTCTCAACGCCGCCGCAAGATAGGCCGTATTCCATGACGATACATCTCTCCGTAAATCAATCATGCTCCAATTCCTCGCGGAATGATCTCCTCTTTTCTCCGTTAAACGGCGTTAACGCATCCCTCCGGCCTCCTTTCGCCACCTTCCACGGCGCTCCACTCTCTTTGCCCTTTGGAGAACGCGAAGAACGCGTGCTGCAATCTAGTGACTTCGATATAAAGCGTATGGATTGTGTGAATTTTGCGAACTCTTTACCGTCGATAGAAATTTCCTATAAAGATAATTTCTTCTTTATTTTATCTAATTTCTTCATGAATAATTAATATAATTCCACTTTCTAATAAGATTAGCTTCTCAGATTTAGAAATCTATGTTTTTTATTTACTTATGTGTTCATTTAAAACTGGGTTGGGAAAATTGGGATTAAATGTAAAAAAATGTAAAAAAATATGTGCGAGAGAGAGAGAGAGAGAGAGAGAGATAAAAGTTTAGCTTGTATTTATTTACAAATTTGAAAACTATTGTTTTCTTCGTAGCGTGATACATAAAGGGGTAAAGTATGCAAAATTTGCAGAATATAGGATATATTAAACGTTTAATAATACTTACTTATTTATTTCACTTTAGATCATTATTATTCTCGAGAAATCGCTTTTCAAATTTGCTTACTATAATAATTCTGCGGTTATTGCTTAAAGTTTTAATTTTATTGCACAAATAGTGGAAATAGTGGAAGATTATAATTAACATGGTGATGATTTAATAAAAGTATTTTTTAAGTTTGATGCGCGGTGAGCGATCCTTAGGGCAAAATGGATGGTGTTGGAGACTCGAGATTGCTGAAATAAAAAAAATACATCAGTATTTAGTCACTGTTCTACAGATATTCGTATCAATATTTACAGTATCTATTTTTTATTTCTTTTGAATAAACTCGAATATACTATATATATTCAGGGAACAAAGTTTTAGAAAGTACATTTAAAAAATGGCCTTACCATACTGCAATGTTGAAAGGCTTACAAGAGTCTGATGATACATCGTACGAGAGTCCCGATGGACAATCTACCACTTCAGGCTTGTTGCTCTTACAAACTATCACCTTAGTACAAAAGTCATTAAGCTTATACACCTCGCCGTTATTACATATTCTCAGTAGCTCGGACGGTATCTCTTGGTGCAGGGTCCATGGATTCGCCAAACTGGAAGTTTCCATCACGTCATGCTGCGTAGGCTGATCACCTAATGCTGGACTATCAGTTGATATGTCTTGTTTCTGTATCTCTTTGTCGATTTCCAATTCGGTCGCCAGGTTTCGCTGATGCCAGGGATCGGACTTGCCCTTGTTCAGCCAAGGATTTCCAGGGTACGAAACGGGCGGTGATGGATAAGAAGGTTGCGGTTGATAGCTCGGTGGTTTAGGGGAATAGGTTGGTTGCGGCGCATAAGTCGGTTGTTGAGGCTGGTAAGTCGGTGGTTGAGGCTGATAAGTCGGTGGTTGAGGCTGATAAGTCGGTGGTTGAGGCTGGTAAGTCGGTTGTTGAGGCTGGTAGGTCGGTTGTTGAGGTTGATAGCTCGGTGGTTTAGGGGAATAGGTTGGTTGTGGCGCATAAGTCGGTTGTTGTGGCTGGTAAGTCGGTGGTTGCGGAGGATAAATCGGTGGCTTGGAAGGAGTGGGCGGGTTGATCGGGGCATAGGTAGAAGACGACTGCGGAGATTGAGTCGGCGGTTGTGTAGGCCTCAGTGGTCTCGGCGTGGCTGCGCCTTTGCAGTCCACATTGCGTTGATAGTCGCAGACGTTTAATATCTGGAAAATAAATTCTAACTAATTCTAACTAATACTATACTATATATAAGTATGTATGTAATACTAATTTTTTTATCAATAAAAATCAAAAATTGAGAGAAAAATTGTGATAATAATCTTACATAATCCTTTCTCTATAAAGATTTATACAAAATATATTTACATAAATTAAAAATAATAAAGTAAACGTGAAATGTATTTTTATAATCTATTAATTATTATCGATTATATTCATCAATTAGATTTCAACATTAGGTTTTATTTTTCTAAATGTTTTATATAAAACGTTAAAATATTAAATTTGTAAATATTAAAATATATTTTAATGTTTTATAATTAAGTTTTTTTAGAAATCAGTGTAGTATACAAAATATATAAAAATTTATAAATAAAATACGGAAGAGTTGGATCTTTTTTTAGAACTTTTATGGTTTTTATACTGTTTTTCAAAGACAATAAAATCGTGTCTTAATGATTTTATGTGTATATTACATTTGCACGGTTTGTAACATCAAAATTATTATAAGATCTTATATCAATTTAATCTGTCTTTTTTAGCGACATATGATTTTAACTTTTTTTTCCAGTAAAAATAGATTAGATAGAATATATAAAAAGATTTTGCGAGATCTGTTGCTACGTCATTCCGCGATTTAAAATTCGGCGAACGTTTTTTTTTTAGAATGAATCCTTACGTCACTGTAGACCAGACCGAGAGGGCAATAAAATTTGATCGGTTTGCCCGCGGCACACACGTAGAATTCCGAACAGTTGGTCGAGCTTCTGTAACGTCCGTTCGGGTCCGGGCATAGCTTCGATCCCGCCGGCAATGCTGGTTCTGTCAAGTAATAGAATTATTTTTTTACTCTCTTCATCTGTATTTCTCAGATCATTAAGAATCTAAAGAGACAACGTTTTTTTTTCCTCCAAATTATTGAACTTTTATATGAAAAGTCTCAATGGTGTTGTTATACAATAAGTAATGAAAATTTAATACATATTCAAATTATTATCACTGCAGAGTATTATCGACACTCTTTTACCGCTCTCCTGCTTCTTATCGATCCTTTGAAGCAATCTTTTTTAAGCCTTGCTTACAATTAGCTGATTAAACGAAATCGCGATTAAAGAGGTATATTAAGCTATTTAAGCCAAATTATCAGAACACAAAAAATTTTATATGAAATTAATTTGCTAATTATTTGCTATTTTTGCTTTTAAAAGTAATTTTTTTTGCTCCAGCTATTAAAAAATTACGAAGGGCTGAATAACTTAAGATTAAGCTATCCAGCCATTGTAAAAAAAAACATATACATAAGTCAAAGCGAAAAGTTAATAATACCAAAATTATTTGCTACTTTTTTGCTATTTTTTTCTTGCAAAAATAATTTTTTTGCTCACACTATTGAAAATTTACAAAGGGTTTATAAACTATCCAACTTTTCGTAACTTTTTAATAGCTGGAGCAAAAAAAATATTTTTAAAAGCAAAGAATAGCAAATAATTAGCAAATTAATTCCATATAAAATTTTTTGTGTTCTGATAATTTGACTTAGATAGCTTAATATACCTGATAATCGAATTGGTCATCGCGATTACCGCTCGCAATTGTGAGCGGGCGATTCGCACCGCGTGATTAATCGATCACACTCACTCGGCGTAGCGGGCGGTCGATCACCGCACTTGACGTTGTACGCGAAGTCACAGTAACCGGCGACGTCGTTGAAGAGTAGCCCGGCCGGACAGGTCTGCTCGATCACCACGTCATCCCAGCAATTTAAATAGTTGGCGCAGTTCTTCGGGCTCGAGTACTGGCCCCGCGGTCCCAGACAGCCCGGCGGGGGTTTATATGGCGGTGGTGCCGGTTGCACCGGTGGTGAAATGGGATTCGGTAGCTCGTTCGTGTCGCCCGGATTGCTTGGAAATCCTGGGTATTGCCTGACGCTATTGAGAACGATTCTGTTGTTTCCCGATGTGTCGTTCTTCCAGGTCCCCGCGCGAACATTCAATTTATGGCTGTCGAAGTTATTCCACAGGGACAATTCTAGTTCTGAAATTTAATGGCGATTGTTCTGTTCCGCGAGACACTTCTTGTCATAGGATTAAGAATAGAGAAAAATAGCAAAACAACGATTAAGTTGCTAATAATAAATAATAGAAAATGTTATTTTATGAATTGACTTGTAAAAGCAACATTAATCATAAATTTGGAAAAATTAAAAGAATAAGAATTATTTATACTCAGTCAATGATAAAAGATAATTGGTAATGTATAATTTATTTATACGCAAATTATATAATTTACGCAATAAAATAATTCATAAAAATTGAGAGAAGCTTTCTAATTGAATATTTGATTGAAACAAAAATTAAAATATAACGCATTAAATAGAATATATATAAAAAAAGAGATTTAAAAGGTACTTGAGAAAAAATTAGAGTAACCTTTAAATTAACTTTAGCTTGAATGAATTTATATGTGTGTGTGTTATTATTAATTTACTCGTAACTTTCTGTAATTGTTTCTATAATTGTTATAAGAGCTTTCTGCAAAATTCTAGAGTTGCAATTTTGAAGCGGCTGACACTGACCTTCAGGTTGTCCAGCGAAGGCGAACTGTCTATCGATGAGCGACGGCGTTGTTGTGGTAGGACTCGTCCTAAGTCTGTCTCTCCTTCTAGCCGCATCAACGAGCCCTAGGACAAGGGCCACAAAAACCAGTATCACGTTCACTCTCATCTTCTCTCTGTTGTGCTCCTAGTTTTTCTTCTCTTCGTCTTCTCCCCTTCTTCACCGATGATAGTTGTCAGAGATCAGCGCCCTTCGCCAGGACGAAAAAGTTGCTCTTCTCAAAGGCTATCTCTCCGAGATGATCTTTGCGGGTGATCTGAACTGATCGACGGATCGGCACCGGTAATCCTTGAGATGGCGCGAATCAAGACGCACGGTGTCCTGATGCTGGATGGGCTGGACCTGATCGCTTCCAGGGCTTTACATAGGGCGGCCCCCACCGCCGCTCTACCGTAGGGTCCGCAGGACCTCAATTACGCGGCGGTGCGCCGCGTAGGACCCTCTTCTTGTTGCGCAGGAAGTGCTTGCGACCGTTGCTTTCGCACCGATTCGTTCATCCTCCTCCTCTTCCTTTTCTCGAATCTCCCTCCTCCACTTCTTACCCGAGGTTTCGAGAACTCCTCATTGGACGAGATTTAGGATGCACCCGAAGGATGCGTGCACGCTCACGGTGATCATTCGTTCTGTCCGAGCTGTTTATCTCTTCTTTTCTTTTTGTCGATCTTTCAAGGGGTTGTTACCGGGCGAATTTAGGACTTTAACCCTTTCATGTCGCGTGTTAAATTCATTAAACGTACGTTCCAAAGACGACCAAAGTTATAAAACTTTCATCCTGGACATATGGTCTCGGTAGATTCAACAGTGTTAAAAATAGCCCCCAATGGCTTGTGGAGAAATGTTTACTTAATTTACTGGCCTTGTTACTTAAAAAATAGAAGAGAAACTTATTGAGCGAAATTAAAGATCTTGTCGGAAATCTTTTGAGCTTTTTATTGTCGGCTTTAATTATCGTTGACAAACTAATCTGAATTACCAACAAAATCGAAAGCTTCAAACGCAAATTTTGTCGAATTGTTTTGTCGCGTCTGTGCTTGATTCTATCTCCTAGAACTTTGCTAAGCAATAATATCATTTAATAAGTGCATCATTAGGAGAAAAATTATCGCACATGAGCGAATATTTTTTCGAACTTATTAATTTTTATACAGTGTATTATACTTGAGTATTATATTTTTACATTTTTATAAAATAAAAATAATAAAAGAATTATTTAAGGAACTGAATAGATATGTTTTAAATAATAAATACAAAGCAACTTCATAAATATTATTTTCATAAAAAATATATTGATTATATACTACTGTCTTTTATTATATGATTTTTTACATTCATACTGGATTAGAGAAGTGGCTGAGAAGTGGCTCGCCAGTGCTCACACAAATCAGTATAATCCGTATAACATTTTTTTCTTTCGGCAACAAGGACGTTTTATGATAGATGATTTTATCCTTCGAATTTCTTGCTATATTGTCACTTTTTCTTACACTTAATTGATCAATAGGTCTGTTCGTTTCGCTGCACTTCTGACCTAGTGCAATAAGTTAGAATGAAACAAATATAGTTTCTTTTATCTAACTTATTATGCACTAGTTTAGAAGTGAAAACAAACTGGCCTATTGCGTTATTATTACGAACGCCTAAAAAAATAACAGATGGTCATTATTTTCCAAACAGCTCAATAATAGTGTATCGATTTCCACGAGTTAAAAAACCATAATGCACATTCGCAAATTTCGTGATGACATCAGCAACCGTTTATGGGATTTCCTGTATGAACAAGACGGTGTCCTGCGACTCAGGAAGATGAGGAAAAAATTCCACACCTGTGAGAAAGAGAGAGAGAAAGGGAATGGACCGCGCATCGGTATGCAAAGGTGGACGCACTCTCGAGAGGACTCGTTACGCATTCGTTACCCGAAAGTGTTCCGCGAATGGGTCCTGGAGGCTGCGTGAGCGCGGGCTGCGCCGCATGTAGGAGGCAGGAGGTCCCGGCGTCCTCCGAGTAGAGCTCATCGTCCTTTTTATTATCTGTTCGGATAAGAGATTCGGCGGTCCCGGCAATAAGGAAGAATTCCGGTCGATGCAAACGATGCAGCCAAAAAAGAGAAGGAAGAAGACGATCGACGTAATCCTGGTATATCCGTCGAATTTTCGATTCCTCCGCCTTCGAATCTCGCGTTCGTAATCTTGAGTCACTCGCGATGACCTCGCCCCGTTGCGTTTTTCTTCGGATGACGTGTGTCGTCGGCAAGATCTGCGATATTTAAGGACACGCATAATCATGCGGATCTTTTTGCATGCATAATGTTGGGACTTTTGGAGATGAGGAAAAAAGGAGCAAAATTTTAATCTGATTTGATGGAATTTTAATCATCTCATCTTAATAATTTTATGCATATTGTGATTAGAATAATATTACTTAGGCTCACAGTCATAAATACAATGTATCTTATACTAAATACTTTATAAGAAAATAATAACTTATTTTTAATTTACAGCTTAAATTTTCCAATCTTTTGCGTTTACTATCTTGGAGAAGTTTATAAAATTTATATATATATAATTTATATTGGAAATTTGTATTTTATACGTTCAGCAACAAAAGTTTTTATTATCTCTCTTATTTTTTACCTACCATATTTTTAACTTTATATATTTAAATTATTATACAATAACTTATAAATGAAATATTTAAACAAGCCAAAGTTGGAACGCATTTAATTTATAATTTATTATGCATTATTATTTGTGAATTAACTTGGGATTTATGAAATTGTGAAACATTAATAAGAATTTAATAGGATTCTCGCACGACAGCCGCTCGCAGATAGAGACATGTGACCTTACGATCCAAGGTGTATCACAAGAGTGACACCCAAGATAATCCCCCGTCTAATCCTAGCAAATTGACATTTATATCGCGCGTTCGACAAAGCCGTCGTTTCTCCGCCGTCGTCGTCGTTCGCGTCCGGTCGAGTCCTTGTCGTTGTTTTAACTCGAGTGGCGGCTCGCCTTAGACCTTAGACCGCAGGCCGACAAACTGCAGGGGGATCTAGGATGGAATGCCGACAAGAGAGAGAAACGAGACGGGAATCCCGCTTGCTGGACCGCGAGATCGGCTCAGGGAGAATGGAGTTAACCCTTAGATGCATAGAAAGTGCAACAAATGAGAAACAAGTCATAAACTGCAAGACGAAACAAGTTATAAATTCCAGAAACGTGCTCTTGCATCTCTACTGTTTAGTTATAATTCCTAGAGAAACTCTCTAATCTTACTGTTAAATTTTAATGAACATATATTTTTTTAATAATTTGTCTTGTACATATTTTTAATACTTTTTGAAACATTGAACGACGTTTTGATGCCGTATTAATCATTATATTTAAAATAATACAGTTTTGTCCGGTAAATAAGATTGTGCAGCTTTATTTTGTTGGCGGTTTTGCAATTTGATTTTTATTGTATTTAAATGCAATATTAATCTATGATCGTAATTAGATTTTATTACAAAATATCGATCTCGATATTTTTTTCTTCAGTGATGTCATGAACGTTAAATATTAAAGACCCTTGAATTCGGCGAACCTGAAAATTATTTTTGCTCTTGTCGAATCGGTAACAATGTTTTTTGTACGCGATGCCGAATCAAATACCAAATCGTATAATAAATTCAAAGTGGCTTACACGGCACGCCACTTACGTCCAAATACGAGGGCGATAGGTATCTCTGCCGAGAACTCGCAAATATCTTGTCGAGGCTTCTTTTGCGTGAATCTCTTTAAGTATCGATAATGAAAACGATACGAGAGATTTCTCAGCTTCTTCATATTTCTTTTCAAGATTTCGGTCTTTTTAAGTAATTCAATTTATTTTCGTATTTAAAAAATTTTTATTCTTTAACTACAAATGTTTAAAATCTTTATCTATATTTAACTGAAAGATTGTTCTTGTCAAAAAAGTAACAATAATTTTGTTTATGAATATATTGTATGTATATAAAGTTTATTCAAGAGAAATATATAAGTTGATTGAGTGTTTGAAGACTATCAGATATTTAACGTTACAAAGTACAAAGTTGCAAGGTGTTTTGGTCTCGCGCCGAGGCATAATAAGTTTTCGATGCGTACGGCGCAGTAGGGAGCAAATAAATTTAAACCTTCTAGAAGCAAAATGATTTTATGGCCGCGTAGAAGCAAAGTGGCGAACGCGCTAGCCTGAAGAATGTTGGGAATATTATTCCCTGTCATCTATGATAAATGGCTTTTTATGCTTTTACTTACAACAACAACTTTAATTTGCTAATACAAATAGAATACATGTGATATTACATTTGAATTAATATGTAATATTAAGAGTGTGATATGTGTTAATATCGATTTTTCGGTCTTAAAATTGTTTCTTGGCAAAACTTTTTTTATTTGCCAGAGAATGTTTTAACAAAGTGTATATACGTTTCTAAAAAATTTTCGACGCATTTCCTCGAAAGCAGATAAAGAACGGATTCTCCTTCCAGAACTTTGCTTAAGTCTTCGAATTGAGCTAAAGCTTTGTCTCGCGTTTGCACTGCACGCGTTCCGTTTGCGCAATGGAACTCGAAAAACAGGTTTGAGAAACGTTGTGTATTAAGGCAGGAACCATCCGAAGCGACGTTAAAAATGCAATCGACGCGCGTTGATACCGTAATGCTCATTCGAATTCATTTCGGGCGTATCGGTACGTCGGACGCGCAGGTTGAAGTGCACGCGCGTTAAGGAACGCGCCTGTCGTAGGTGGTCCGTTGCTACTCTTTACACATGTTTATAATTTAGCGCTGAATGATAGAGCGAGCCGCGGAGGGTTATAAGCACTTAGCGCGAGTGCGATAACTTCTTTCAACGATGTTATTACTATCGAAATAAAATGCATGTCAAGTAACATCGATTACGCTAAATTATTTTCACATTTCGTTTATGGGACTTCTTGACAGTAATAATGAAGAGCAAAGATATAACGTAATTATCGTTTAATTTTAAATCTTCTCGAATCTTTTTTCTCGCGAAACTTATTCTTCTTATCTTCCAGGTACCTTAAAATAAAGTTATGTAGTTGTAGATTAACTGGAAGTATC